AATAATAATAATAATAATAATAGCCAGACGACACTTTGACCTCTTTGAAAACCATTCAAGAGAAAAATATGATAGAAAAAAATAGATTATCACTTAATTCATTCTCTCCATTAATATTGGAAAGAGTGATAACAGCTACTGGACTTGAGAAACCTATTTTCCTGAAAAATTGTTTTCAGAGAAAGATTTGTAGTGACACAAAGTCTTATGGACGCCGTGGTTGAAGCTAATGACGATTTTATTGAATAAATTTACTCTTTAGTATTTCAATATATTTGTTAAAACGAGATGTCAGTGTTATTTTCATTTTTGCGTAATTTAGACGACAATTATCCATCGCACCATGTGCGTATATATATATATATATGTATGTGTGTATTGACCAAACATGTGAGCAACGATGAAGTTTTAGAGAAAATGAAAACAAAAGGATACACACTTAACATCAGAAAGACAGTTGAAATTTCTGGGGCACATAATGAGAAAAGAGGGTTTGGAAAATCTGACACTTACAGGACATATTGAAGGCAAGAGGGACAGAGGAAAGCAAACGCATAACCTACCTAACGAGCGCCTGTAAATGCATGACAGAACAGAGTTTCAGAGAGATGACGAAAAGACAAAATTTATCAAGAGCTACAAAGGACATAAAACTGTACAGAGACATGATCGCCAACGTCCTGAAGGGACACGGTACAAAGAAGAAGAAGAAGAAGAAGAAGAAGAAGAAGAAGAAGAAGAAGATTCAATACACTGTTTCGGCTATAAAGAAATTATATACAGAACTACAAAATCAGATTTTATATTGATAATAAAGAGAGGATAGGTTACGTAATGTGACGATATTTTAATGTTATTTAAACTCTTATGGCATTTAACATTGAACGAAACCACAAGATATTCAGATGCATGAATGTGATGTTCTTTAATAGCGGCTTTTGTTTTACAAGCCAGTGATAGCAAAAGGGCGTATAACTTAGTTATGAAATTAGCATATATGGTAAATAACCTATGTTAGATCAAAATTTCCTTTACAACAGTCACGAAATGTTAAAAGAAAAAAAGAATAACATAATTTGTTTTCCAAAGGCTCATTTTTTGACCCAGAGGGCAATGAAGATACATATATTTTTTAGTGGAAAGATTTTGAAACACGTGCAAACTTACTGATAAGGAATATACACTAACAGAAAATCACATTACAACGCCTTGAATATATGTTTACACAAGATTACACAATAGTATCATACATATATTTTTAAGACGTTTTTTCTTATGTTTATACGTTCTTTTTATAGATACAAATATTCAAGTAAATGCTCTGTTTATAATAAACAGTATTAAACAACATTTACCGGCCTGAATGTCCGAGAAATTTTCATAGAACATATGCGTCCTCCGACAGGAATCGAACCTGTATCCTATACGGAACCGTCATATAGCCTGACGTGCCATAACCGATTGGGCCACAGAGGATCGTTCGGTTAGGAAGGTTGATTTTACTGTTTTTAAACACAATTCTCCATGATTTTCTCTCATTCATTCATATCTGCTCAATGCGTATCCAAATGTAAACAAATGACGTCATACAATATGAAATGGACAAAAAGTCCGACTATTATTTTTGTTTATAAAATGTCTCAAAAATAAGTCATTCTTTGTCCATTTCATACAATTTTATATATATATATATATATATATATATATATATATATATATATATATATATATATATATATATATATATATATATATATATATATATATATATATATATATATATATATATATATATATATATATATATATATATATATATATATAATATATATAAATTAAAAGAAAATTAAAAAATAAAGTCGTCTCAACAGTATTCAGTCTCCATATTAATAAATTCTATATTTTTCTTGGTGTTAGCATTAGCCTGTACTCTGGTACAGATCGTGAATACGATACATTATCCCACACCATTTGCAACTGTTGACGCAATACAGTAAGAGTTGTAGGTGGGTTAAATAAATGAGTTAGGCATGGTTCCATCATGTTCTATACGTGTTCAATTCAAAGAATTCAGGTTTAGTGACTGTTTCTATTGCAGTAACGCCAGCTGAGCAATGCCCTGGATGTATGTGCTACTGTTCAACGTTCTCACCAGAAACGCTAAAAAATTAATAGGTGTGTAGATTATGGACGTCAAACCATTGATGCCAGAGATCGGGCCTGGGTATCGCGGGCGATTACACTTTTGAAGATATAGCTTCTTGGTCATTATCGTATATGCAAAAGATCGTCAATTGCATGAAAGTAGAACTTGCTCTGGTCACTTAACACTATAAATCGTTAATCGATAACTCAGGCGCTGCTTTTTAGGCCACCAATAGGGCCGTGCAAGTCAGTCTTATAGCCTAAATGAGACTGTACTATATGACTGTCCAGAAACTGATGTAGGAATGTTCATTTAACCACTGTTAACAACATCGAAGCACCTCTGACGCGTCATGTTCAGTAGGTGCAACAAATAACAAACCAGCCGCCTCTCAAAGCAGCTCTAATTGAACGGTCAATGGCCTGGAACTTAATTGCACTGGATTTTTTTCATCATACTGAAACATACGACACAGCATACATCACAGACGAAAGATCAGACACAGATGGTGTACTGGAATGAGTGTTACTATAACACAAGATGATAAAAAAAAATTGAAAGCTTTATCAATATATCTACTACCCTCTAATATAGACATACTGTACCCAGGTCTAAATTTGCATTGTCTTCACGATGTTTCGGTTTTATCTTCCGTCAGAGTATTATATAAATACGTTATTATGAAAAAATAGATAAAAATACATAGATAGAATTATAGCCATATGATTCTGGGGGTCACCATTTAGGTGGCTTTTTTAAAAAGTTATAACTTCAACTTACAGGAGAAATACAAATTATAAAGGATAACAAGTGATGTCATATTTTAAACTGGTAATTGTTGTAAATTAAAATATGTATCGAATTTGATCGTTATATATACATGCGCACTTTAGTTTCTTTTCTCAAGACAAGAAATCAAAGAATAGTTCTGATACCTCTATTCCAACTTGAGACTTTCTTTCATAGGCATAAAAAACACTACTCATAAATTTAATTTAAAATTATTTTACTATTAAAAAAAATAATAGAATAGATCATATTCCCATTCATTTAATAATGTACTGAAGTCATGAAGTAAGTCTTTGTTTTAAAAAGCTAGTGCATTTGTTTAGGGAATAGCAACTCCATCTCATAAAAAAGCTACTTGTTATGGAAACCATAGAAGCAACCCCTATCGTGTTGATAGCCGTGGCCCCTAATACTCCACGATGGAATTCTGGGTCCATGAATGAGTGAGAGAGAATATATCTCTTTAAGGTATATTAATTACATTAGTGTATCCGTACCGTCAAAAATTGTTTGCGAATTTTAATACTAAGATGCAATGAAATAAAAGTTTTGAAACAATATATCGAGATTCAATAAAACGGTGATCCAGAATTCACAACTAAAATAGTGGCCAATGAACCATTTAATTAATCCGTTACTACAACGTGCAGTCTTATTTGTTCAAGCTTTTTCTTGAGAGGCACTCAGATACCTTTTGTCTACTAAGTGATGATCTTGCTTCAACATACTTCAGTAGGGTTTGTCGTCATCCTCTCTGTTCTCTTGCTAATCTTATTTCTCTTTCGAATGGCGTTTCCATTTCGAGTCACTGTTATATTAAGCATACATTATTTTAACATGAAAAGATAATGAGCAGAAAGCTAATAGTTATCAATGAATCATAGATACCATTGGACGTCTAAAGATACACATTTTTCACAAATTAAATTTAGCTTGTGTCTATACTAAACTGTATAATACTATAAAAAACTGCTGGAAAAGTTCAATTTAGAATTAAAATTGAAAAATAATTTTGGTTAAAAGAAATTTTTATAAATACGTGTATTATTAATTTTGCACTATCTAATAATTGAAGGCTTGACACGAAATTCATACGGATATATAATGTGCCCGTACTATAAAAAAACAAAGCTGTTTTACACCAGTCTGTGATTAAACCTGTCTTTTAATGTACTCATATATTATAGAATCAGTATTATAGGACTGAAGACATACTTTGTACCATATATGATATACACCAATCATTAATCTGTTTTTCATTTACGTAGTTCCATATATGATACAACAGACAAAGAGTTAAAGACAGTATAACTGCCACGCCGATTAATCCCCATTTATTTAAAAGAAATCCCCTATTATATTGTTGAAGGAGTTATATACATTATTAAATATTCCTATCTAATCCCACAGAGTGTGACACGAAAGATATAAATGAACGAAAAACTACACAACGGTAATTATTATATAGTGTTGATTAATTTTTCACTAATTACATAGACCTTGGCACGAAAGATATAAATACAGAAATATATAATTATTATATAGTATTGATTAAAACAATTTTTACAAAGATATATTCAATAAACCAATTTATTTAAAAAAAATAGCAGTTTTAAATGAATACGTTACTAATGTTTAAAGATATACTTTTTTTTTTTCATTCTGTAGTTCGAAAATTATCGGTCTATTTATTATTAAAGTATAATAATTAATAATTAAATTGTATTATATAACTTAATTTCACATAATTTTTTTAATGATTTTATTTGAAAAGAACTTAAAGTTCATGTTTTGGACGTTTTAAATTATAAACAAAGAAGCAAAAAGAATAACTAATTTTCCAGGATGATAAAAAGGAAGAAGAAAGAAAAAGAAGAAAAGAACGTGCTCTACTGCAGGATGAATTTATAAATTATATATATTAAAGAAGAGAAAAATGAAAATATGTTCTGAGGAACAAAGAACAAAAGAGAACAGGGTTGAGAAAGACAGAAAATGGATATGGCAATGAATGGATGATGGTAAGTAAATAATTCAAGAAAAGAAAAAGAAGAAAATACGTGCTCTAAGACAGGATGTAAAAGAAAAGGGATCGTCTCAAATAGAGAAAATGAGAATATGTGAAGGATGACAAAGAAAGAATAAGAGAACAGGGTTGAGGAAGACAGAAGAAGATGGATATGGCAATGAAGGATATGGTAAAGCATTCATAAAAGAAGAAAGAAAAGAAGAAAATACGTGCTCTACGGCAGGATGTATAAAATCTATAAAAAGGATAAATAATAGAGAAAATGAGAATATGTGAGGAGACAAAGGACAATAAGAGAACAAAAGAAAGACAGAAGATGGATATGGCAACATGGATAAGGTAAGCATTCATAAAGAAGAAAAAGAAAAAGAAAATACGTGCTCTACGGCAAAATGTATAAATCTAAAAGGATCGTCTCATAATAGAGAAAATGAGAATATGAAGGAGGACAAAAAGGACAATAAGAGAACAGGGTTAAAGGAAGACAAAAAATGGATATGGCAAAAATGGATATGGTAAAGCATTCATAAAAATGAGAAAAGAAAAAGAAAAGAAGAAAATAAAACTTAACCTACAGGCAAAAATGTGTATTTTAAAAAGGAATTCTGGATAACAGAGAAAAATGAAATATGAAAGAAACAAAAGACAATAAGAAGAACATGGTTTTCATAGAAAAAAAATATGGATATGGATTTTATAGAAAGACAGAAATGGATATGGTAAGCATTCAAAAAAAAGAAGAAAAGAAAATAATATAAAATATGTGCTACCAAAGGCAGGATGTAAGGACAATCTAAAAAAGAGATAACGTCCCTACAGAGAAAAAACATATATGTGATAAGGACAAAGGACAATAAGAGAAAGGGTTGAGGAAGAGAGAAGATGGATATGGCAAATGGATATGAAAGAAATAAATAAAGAAGAAAAGAAAAAGAAGAAAATATAAAATACGGAAAATGAAAAGAAAAAAAATATCGTCTCATAATAGAGAAAAAAAGAATATGTGAAAGGAAGAAGGACAATAAGAGAACAGATACAAAAGACAGAAGATGGATATGGCAACATGGATATGGTAAAGAATTCATAAAAGAAAGAAAGAAAAAAAGAAAATACGTGCTTTAAGGCAGGATGTATAAATCTAAAAGGGAGGCGAAATATAGAGAAAATGAGAATATGAAAGAAGACAAAGACAATAAGAGAAATTAAAGGAAGAATTAATGGAAAAAAGAAAGAAGATGGATATGGTCTAAGTATTCATAAAAAGAAAAGAAAAGAAAAGAAGAAAATAACAGGGTTCTAGAAAGGCAGGAAGTATAAATATAAAAAAAGGATTCATAAAAAAAATAGAAAAAGAAAATATGGACGGCAGGATGATAAATCTAAAAGGAAGAGAAATGAGGGGTTGAGTGAAGACAAAATGAAAGATGGAACATGGCAAGACAGAAGATGGATATGGTAAGCATGGATAAAAGAAGATCAAAAAAAAAGAAGAAAATATGCTCTACGGCAGGATGTATAAATCTAAAAGGATCGTCCATAACAGAGAAATGAGAATAATATGAGGAGGACAATGACAATAAGAGAACAGGGTTGAGGAAGACAGAAGATGGATATGGGCAACATGGATATGGTAAGCATTCATAAAGATGAAAATAAAAGAAGAAATATGTGCTCTGGCAGGATGTATAAATCTAAAAAGGGATCGTCTCATAATAGAGAAATGAGAATATGTGAGTGAGGACAAAGGGAATAAGAGAACAGGGTTGAGGAAGACAGAAGATGGATATGGCAACATATGGTAAAAAAGAAGAAAAGAAAAAAGTAAAAATACGTGCTTGACGGCAGGATGTATAAACAAAAGGATCTATAAAAGAGAAAATGAGAATATGTGGTGAAACAAGGACAAAAAGAACAGGGTTGAGGAAGGAAGATGGATATGGCAACATGGATATTGTACAATCTAAAAGAAAAGAAAAATAGAAAATACGTGCTCCAGGATGTATAAATATAAAAAAGGATCGTCTCAAAATGAGAATATGATGGAGTGGGGACAAAGGACAATAAGAGAACATGGTTGAGTAAGACAGAACATGGATATGGCAACATGGATATGGTAAACATTATAAAAGAAGAAAAAAAAAGAAGAAAATACGTGCTTACGGCAGGATGTATAAATCTAAAAAAGGATCGTCTCATAACAGAGAAAATGAGAATATGTGATTGAAGACAAAGGACAATAAGAGAACAGGGTTGAGGAAGACAGAAGATGGATAAGGGCAACATGGATATGGTACATTCATAAAAGAAGAAAAGAAAAGAAGAAAAATACGTGCTCTACGGTAGGATGCATGAAAACATGAGAAAAAGGGAAAAGTCTCATAACAGAGAAAAATGAATGAAATGAAGTGAAAGACAAAGGACAATAAGAGAACAGGGTTGAGGAAGACAAAAGATGGATATAAAAATGGATATGGTAAGAATTCAAAAAGAAGAAAAAAAGAAAAGAAAAAAATACGTGCTCTAAAAGGCAGGATGTAAAATCTAAAAAAGGATCGTCTCATAAAGAGAAAATGAGAATATGATTGAGACCTGAGACAATAAGTGGACAGGAAAAGAAGAAGATGGAAGGGTTGAGATTGAGGATTCAGAAAAGATGAAATGGCAACATGGATAAAACGTGCTCTACAATCTGTAAAAGAAAAAAAAGAAAAAACAGAAAATGAAAATAAAAGGACAAAAACAATAACAGCAGGGTTGAGGAGACAGAATGGATAAAAAAGGGATATGTAAGTTCATAAAAGAGAGAAAATGAGAATAAAAGACAGCAGGATGATAAATCAAAGGGAAATAATAAGAAAACAGGGTTGAGGAAGACAATGAATATGGATGGATGGGCAACATGGATATGGTAAGCATTCATAAAAGAAAGAAAGAAAAAAAGAAAATACGTTTACGGCAGGATGTATAAATCTAAAAAGGGATCGTCTCATAAAAGAGAAATGAGAATATGTGAGAGAGGACAAAGGACAATAAGAGAACAGGGTTGAGGAAGACAGAAGATGGATATGGCAACATGGATATGGTAAATATTCAAAAAGAAGAAAAGAAAAGAAGAAAATATGTGCTCTACGGCAGGATGTATAAATCTAAAAAAAGATCGTCTCATAATAGAGAAATGAGAAATATGTGATTGATGACAAAGGACAATAAGAGAAATAGGGGTTGAGAAAGACAGAAGATGGATATGGCAAGATGGATATGGTAAGTATTCATAAAAGAAGAAAAAAGAAAGAAAATAAAACGGTAGGGATGGGTACCCAAAAAAGGGATTGCTCGCTAACGAGAAAATGAGAATATGTGGAGGAGGACAAAGGGACATAAAGAGAAATATGGTTGGGAAAGAGAAATGGATGTAGAAACATGTCTTCAAAAGAAGAAAAAAAAGAAGAATACGTGCTCTGCAGGATGTAATAATCTAAAAGGACAAAAATAGAGAAAATGAGAATATGTGGGGAGGACAAATACACATGAGAGAAAAGGGTTGAGAAAAGAAAGAAAATGGACATGGATGGATATGAGCAAAAATTTATGGTAAAAAAAGAAAAAAAAAAGAAGAAAATACGTGCTGGTTGAGGCAGGATGTATAAATCTAAAAAAGGATCGTCTCATAATAGAGAAAATGAGAATATGGAGTGAGAACAAAGGACAATAAAGAGAAGAACAGGGTTGAGGAAATGGATATGGTAAAACACAGAAAAAGATGGATGTGGCAAAATATGGATATGGTAATAAATTCAAAAAAGAAGAAAAGAAAAAGAAGAAAAAAAGACGTGCTCTAGGGACAGGATGTATAAATTCTAAAAAGGATCGTCTCATAAAAAGAAAAAAAAATGAGAATATGTGAGTGAGGACAAAGGACAATAAGAGAACAGGGTTGAGGAAGACAGAAGATGGATATGGCAACATGGATATGGTAAGCATTCATAAAAGAAGAAAAAAAAAAAGAAGAAAAATACGTGCTCTACGGCAGGATGTATAAATCTAAAAAGGATCGTCTCATAATAGAGAAAATGAGAATATGTGAGTGAGGACAAAGGACAATAAGAGAACAGGGTTGAGGAAGACAGAAGATGGATATGGCAACATGGATATGGTAAGCATTCATAAAAAGAAGAAAAAGAAAAGAAGAAAATACGTGCTCTACGGCAGGATGTATAAATCTAAAATGGATCGTTTCATAATAGAAAATGAGAATATGTGAGTGAGGACAAAGGACAATAAGAGAACAGGGTTGAGGAAGACAGAAGATGGATATGGCAACATGGATATGGTAAGCATTCATAAAAGAAGAAAAAAAAAATACGTGCTCTACGGCAGGATGTATAAAATCTAAAAATGGGATCGTCTCATAATAGAGAAAATGAGAATATGTGAGTGAGGACAAAAAGGACAATAAGAAGAACAGGGTTAAGGAAGACAGAAGATGGATATGGGACAACATGGATTTGGTAAGCATTCATAAAAGAAGAAAAGAAAAAAAGAAGAAAATACGTGCTCTACGGCAGGATGTATAAATCTAAAAAGGATCGTCTCATAACAGAGAAAATGAGAATATGTGAGTGAGGACAAAGGACAATAAGAGAACAGGGTTGAGGAAGACAGAAGATGGATATGGCAACATGGATATGGTAAGCATTCAGAAAAAGAAGAAAAAAAAAAAGAAAATGAGAATATACGGCAGGATGTATAAATCTAAAAAAGGATCGTCTCATAATAGAGAAAATGAGAATATGTGAGGAGGACAAAGGACAATATGAAGAAGGATTGAGGAAGACAGAAGATGGATATGGCAACATGGATATGGTAAGCATTCAGAAAAGAAGAAAAGAAAAAAAAGAAAATACCTGCTTACGGCAGGAGGATAAATCAAAAAAGGGATCGTCTCAATAACAGAATAGAAAAAATGAGAATATGTGGATGATAGAAAAGGACAATAAGAGAACAGGGTTTTAGAAAACAGAAGATGGATATGGCAACATGGATATGGTAAGCATTCATTCAAGAAGAAAAGAAAAAGAAGAAAATACCTGCTCTACGGCAGGATGTATAAATCTAAAAAAGGATCGTCTCATAATAGAAAAAATGAGAATATGTGAGGAGAGGACAAATAGACAATAAGAGAACAGGGTTGAGGAAGACAGAAGATGGATATGGCAACATGGATATCATAAGCATTCATAAAAAGAAAAGAAAAAAAAAAAAAAAACGTGCT